GCACACGCTACCGTCCGTTACGCGTTCGACGTTCGACCGTACCACGACGACGAGAGAGAGAGAGAGAGAGAGAGAGAGAGATGACCTTTTGATATTCAAAACAGTGAGAAAAAGTTAGCTATAAACACCTTGAACAATACGAGTGTAGATGGCCATACTCTTAAGGAAACAAGAGTAGTTTCATGAGAGAAACACTCAAGGATCAAGGGCCAATGAAATGGTACTCAAATACATACCAAATGCTTGATGATATGATAAAAAATCTCAGAGATACCAGATGATGAATAACAAAAAGAAGATGGTGTCTAGGTGCAAAGTATTGAACTAGCCACGTAGGATTTATAAAAATTCAAGTATATAAATATTAAGAGGCTAATTCAAAATGGAATTTACCTCAAGAAGAAGGTGATCATATTACTCTAGGAAAGAAAGAAATGGAGCTATGGAAGTTACCTCAAGCCTAGACACCATGAGAGGAAGCTTCAATTGCAATAGGGACTTTGCTCTCCACAATTTGGATCAAGGAAGAAGAAAGCACTATGTGGGGCGTGGAGCTCTCGATTTTCTCTGTAAACTATCTTTAAAATATGTTCATAAGTATGTAGAGAACGAGGCTATGGGGGGCTATTTATAGGTAATTCACCTTAGATATTTTAAAGTGAATAGATCATGGCCCTTAATGCTCATCTTCCATAGCGCATAAGAAGGCTTTGATCCTAGTCCCTCATCCTTGTCTAGCTGATGAGATTTCACACCGTTATCCCTCCTTTAGGAAACCCTAGATTAGCCATTTACCAAATTGCCATATGTAGAGAAAAGTTTTCAAAACTGCCATTTCTCAATTCCAAAAGTGCCCATGGTAATTTTTGAAATTAAACAAGGAATAAAGGTGTAGGGCGTGGCCGTCATGTAATTTAGTAAATATCTTGCTTTCATCCAATGGGATGAAGCCATGATATTCACATGGGCTCTAGCCAATGAGGTGATGCGACACAAAAGCCACTTTAATACATCACTTTCTCTGATGGATTAGGATTTAAGCTAAAGTTTCATTGCATGCCTAAAACCCCAAGTAAATGTGAATAAGACCATGTGTGCCAAAATAGCATATGACTAATTATGTTACTTAAAATATAAAACAATTTCTCATAATTAAAACCTTATAACTTAAATGAACATAACAAAAGACACGTGGACATCCACTAGGTTTTGACTCATGACGAAGTCAGCCCTAGGTGGGGCCATAGGGGAGCCACATGTCATCCCTATGGCCACTTGGGTGGTACATGGGCCCCCCCACTAGGTGTCCTTAATTGGAATTTGGGCAACACAATTTTAAAATCTCATTTTTAATGCTTC